CCCTGTTCACACCAGAATCAAAGTCCCCGTGGGTGTGTGATTCCCTGTTAGAGAATGAAGTTCAGTGTCATTCCTGGTGCTTGTCTACATCAAGCCCCGTGGAAGTGCCTTCTTTCCCCCTTTCTACCCGGGGCTCATTTCATTTTTCAAAATTCACATCAAAGCTACCACCTCTGTGAAGTCTCTCCAGACCTTCCTCCATACAGCCCCCTTCCCCAGGTAAACAGTGAAAAATAATTTTTCAAAAAACCTCCCGCTCGTGGACCTACCCCATCTCCATGCCCCGTGCAGCATGTCAAGGCACTGACGTCATTGGCATGTCTAAAAATCCCTTTAAAAGCAGGGTTCAGTCATTTTCATGGCACACAGAGGTAGCGCCACGTAGAACCCAGGGGTTCCTAGGTGTGGAACACTTCTTACTTTCCCAACTACAGCTCTTGCCGTCTGGTTCTGAAAGAGACTGTTTTCATGTACAAACACTGGTCTATACAACATGCCAGAAAAGAAAATAAGTAAGGAAGTAACTATCCGAAGTGGTGGCATGGGCTGTAGGTACACATCTTTTAAAGCAATGGGGAACACGACTTAAGTTAAAAGACACCAATAAGACATCCTTTAATCTCCGAATAAATCAGGATCAATGAGACCTGGGTGAAGCCAGCTGACTCCAGACCCACACTGCCAGCGGCATCCTTAAGCCCCAGAGTCACTTCTCTTTATGAAAAGAAATGGTTCCCTTTCGATACCAAAGCTATTTTGTGTTACAAAATCATTATTGCCATTTTAATGATAATATTTAACTTGTTGTGAAATAACCAATAATGGTAAGGGAAGCTGTAATGGTTTTTGTTACTACAAATAGGACATGAAATTTAAAGAATGACAAAACACTGATTTAGATGTTTTTACCGTGCTAGAGAATATCGCAGATACTTTTTTATTCCTCACCTGTTACTTGACCACAACTTAAAAAACATTCATAGTTGTATTTGGTCGCTCTTCTAAAATAGTAAAACTCTTTCACTGCCTGTGACAAATATGACTCTTGTGCCTCATAACCTGATACATTTAATAAACCTAAATAAAGCAGATTAAACATCATTAGTCAGGGCATCCTGTCTTCATCTTCTGATCTGTTTATTGTCTCACAGATCAGTTTTTTAAACGACCCTTTGAACTTCATTGTGTTGAAAGTAGTGACCTATCAAATATCCTTACACAGAATTTTAACCTTCATTTAAGGCATAACCTGTGAAGATTCTTTGTGTTTTTTTAAAATGGAGATCAATAATGTTAATATTTTAGCATCTCATTTCTGCCATTCCAGCAACTATCTTTCTATACCTATTAGAGTTTACTCAATACCTATTAATCTCTGTAATACAAAGTTTCATGGGATCTCTCAAAAGGAGAGTGTATTCTGAGCATTAGTTTGATTATTGCAAACATCAGTCAAATTTTTGCTTATCAAGGAAGCTTGGAGAGCTCTTGGTGGTGGATTCAACGATGGTGTTCTCTACCCACTACATTATTCAGGACATCAATACCCTCATTAAGAAAGTGCTTTCTAATGCTTTGTGTGTATAAGTTTCACCTTTTATAATGTGCTTGGGAATTCAGATATTTTTAGTAAACGTCGAGAAGCTTTGAAAGGATAGAGAGCATTTTTTTTTTTTTCAGCGAAGCCGTGACTCAGGGGATTTGGGACATTTTATGTCAAAATCGCTCCCCACAAGCCTAATTCAGATCAGCAGCTGCTGAAAGTCACTCTCAGCAGATCGGGCTGCTTCTGTGGAGTGACTCAATCTCTAAATCTTTCCTGTTAACGAAGGTCTTAGCAGAGGGTCACACCTAGTGTATAGTTTTGGTCATTATGAAAAGCTGCTGAAAAGAGTTTAGGGTTGAGGATAACTATAGCATAGGTGTATTTTGTGCTTGATAAGAGGACAGAGCGTGTGGTCACGACAGCATGAGAATAAATACAGCACATGCCAGCCGGCTGCAGACGAGCAGCATCAACTGCAGGGTGGAGACTTGGATTCCGTTTTTACGCTTCACTGTTTTGTTCGGAATTGACCTCCATTTATAGATACAGATGTAGATACTTGCATCTTTCTTTTAGATGAATTGAAATGTATTATTTCATAATAATTTGTTAATGACACATTCTATCATTATTCTTTTTGTACGTGCCTAGAGAATAAAGCATGAAGCCTTGATTTCTTTCGTCTTAAATTGTATTACTTCTGTCATTTTCCTAATACTGCTAGAACCTCAGAACCTCTGAACTCCATGTAACCCCACCTGACTTTTGCAGTTAGGGTTGGCGCGTTGTTCTGCATATGACTTAAAGTCTATAAGACATTTTCCAAACGCATAACTTGTATTTACCCATGGATTTAATTCCAGTGTCCTTAATCCTCTCTTAAATTTCCTTTTTTTTTTTTTTCATCTAGGATCATTTTCTTCACCTTAAAAAAAATAGTCAAGACCTGTGATAGCAAACTTCCTTGTTCTTGTTTGTCCAATAACATTTTGTTTCACTTTCATTTTTAAGGGATTTTTTTTTTTTGAGTCTAGAATCCTACAGGTTGAATTACTTCCTTTCAGTACTTTAACTTGTGATTCATTGTTTGCTGGCTTCCAGTATTTCTGTTTAGGAGTCAGCTTCCATTCTCATTGTTGCTCCTTTGAAGGTATTGCGTTTTTTCTTGTAGATTTTGAAAACATTTTTTTTTGTCATTGACCTTTGGCCTTTTTAATATGATCTGCCTTCTTTTCTTATTGTTGGTGGTGGAGTGTATTTATCGTGCCTTTTCCAAACTTCTTAATACGTATGTAGGTGCCATTCCCAAGTTTTGGAAACTTATCTCTGAATATTGCTTTGCCATTTTCTTTATATCTCTTCTATCAGTACTTCTGCTACTCCTTTTACTGTTTATGTCTACTCTTCTATTTTTTTATTTGTCCATCTTTTTCTCCATTCTTTTAAACATTTAACCACAGGATTTTTAAAGTCTTTATCTGCTAACGCTAAACCTGGATCATCTGTGAATCTGTTTTATCTTTTGATTTGGGGTAGATTTCCTCGTCTCTTCCCATGTATGGTAATTTCTAATTGCACGCTAAGCATTGTGTGTCAACCAACACTACTGATGATGTTTTCTACCTGAGGCGATTCAACACAGCATCCACTGGTGGAGAAAACAGAGGAACTAAGAGATGTTAGTGAAAGAAACACACAGATTTCACGCAAATCCCAATGAGAAAAAGAAGTAAAGAGGAAGATGATATAGGGACGCTGGTCTTTGGCATATATCAGGTCCTGGACACCGGCTGTTGGGCAAATGACAGGCACTGTGGGGTAATAGGAAGACGGACTCTGGAACCAGCCCGCCTGGTTCCACCATTTTCCGTGTGACTTTGGGCAAATGATTTAATCTCTCTGTGCCTCAGTTTCCTCACCTGCCAGATGCTAGCACCACTTTGTAGAGCTCTTGGGAGCATTGCATGAGTTAATATTTGTAAGGGGCTTAGAAAAGTGCTGACGCAACTTTAGCATTCTGAAGTGTCTACTAAATAACTAATTTTATGCACACCCTCCACCCGGCTCTCCTGGCTCACTTCCCTGACAGTAGAGGCAATCCGGCTTCCACAAGAGTCTCCCAGCAGGAGGATTCTGACTTCCAGGTCATTCCAGTGCAGTCCTGGAGACTAGGGAGCAACCCCCTTGTAAGGGGGGGTATACTGCTTTGGCCACTCACTTTCTCTCAGTGCCTGGAGGTTGCTTTGGGGATTGGACGGTCACAGGCCTGTTTTGCACACTGTTTGTCTAGGCTTCAATTGGGAGAAACTCCTTTTGCTAATAACCAGCCCAGAAATCCAGTTATGCACTTCAGGTATGGGTTTGACCCCCCGGCTTCTGTGTTTTAACATCGTTTCTTGACAGTCAGCCCATTTCTGTGATTCTAGGCTTTAAAATCTTCTTCCTCAGGTAAACAAGAGGCTTGGGTGTCCAGGTGAAGGTGTTGGCTTTCGAATTGTATGGAACATGGATGGCCTTGCTGTTTTCAAGTGACTCTCCTCACATAAGCCAACCACCGTGCCCTGCTTTGTTTTATTCCCATTTATCTTGATGGAAAGGATGGAAGTTATGTGGGAACAAAGTAGTAGGTGCCTTGAGGCCGTCTCGTTCCCTCTGAATTCTCCCCAGTAGTCCCGTTCTGATGTCCAGGATCTCATTTTGTGACACCAGCACACTCACTACGGAATTGACGGCCAGTTTGGCTTCTGCAGCGCGCAGCTGCTCCAGATGACCGTCTGCTGGCAGAGCGCAGAGCCCACAGCCTGCAGCCTGCCACATGCCCTAGCTGTCCCTGGGGGCAAGCTCTGCCTCCCTTCAGGGACCCCAAGGAAGCCAGACCGAGCAGCCAATACACTTGCACGCGGTGATGCCCTCCTGCAAAGACCCCTGACGTTCCCACGTCTGTGGACTCCTGGGGCTAGTGCGTGATGGTCAGAGTTGGGGTCACGTGACCTTAAAAGGTGTTGACTAGTAACTGTGCGTAGACAGAGGGGTGGATCCTGGAGTGGGATGCAGCTGAAGAAATCCAGAAACATCTATTATAGACAGAATTACAATCGTCATATATTCAATGAAGAAAAAGTCCAAGATGTCGTAAGAATGTATATAACAAGAGAGGGCAAAGGGCAAACGGACATGTGAGTCTTTCCTGTACCACTGGAGGTACATCGCCTGTTCCCCAGGTACTTACCCTAACTGATTTCCAAGTTCCATTCATCGTCCTAATTCGGCAGTTCACAGCCGACCTGCATTGGATGCCGTTTCCCAGGGCAGCAGAGCCAGGAGGTTCTAGAGTGGATGTCCAAGCTCTCTTCCCACCCCGTCAGAGCCTTGGCGTCCAGGTGTTGCTCTTATACTTCTCATTCATTCACAGTATTTGGTGCTACTCTTTTTACCCCCTGCTTCCGTCCCCCAGGTAATCCATCAGCTGAGACTGTCCGAGAATGAGAGCGTGGCCCTTCGGGAGCTCCTGGACTGGAGGCGGAAACTCTGCGAGGAGAGAGGAGACTGGCCACAGATCCTGCGCCACGCGGAGCCCAGGGCACCTCCGCCACCTCCGTGCAAGAAGCCCACGCTCCTGAAGAAGCCCGAGGGGGCCTCCTGCGGCAGGCCGCCCCCCAAGTTCTGGGACACTACCCTGTGATGGGCCCCGACTGCAGACTCACTGCCTGGAGATGCCAGGTTCACAGACAGAGGCTGCCCCTGGTACATGCTAGGGGCTCTGTCCGCATCTACACGAAAAGCACAGGACAGCCCAGTTAAATACTCGAGATTCCCTGAGTGTGCGAGTGTGCGTGTCTCTGTGTGCGTGTCTGTGTTTTCTCATCCGTTCTGCGGGGATGCACTCTGATCTTCAGGCTCTGTGGTCCTAGGGCCGTGCTACCCCGAGGTAGCGAGAGAAAGGCCGGACAAAGTGTGGCTGAGCAGGGAGAGGATGATGGCGGAGGGGGACCCCTACACCGCAGAGTTGTTTTTATAGGGTCCGACCACTTGCATCTTGCCCTCCAGTCATTTTACTCTCGTACACTCTCCAGGACCTAGGTTTTATTTCTTTGTAGGTGTTTGCGTTTTATTGGAATTACAATCCTGTTAATGATTTACATGTTTGTTATTGTATTTTATAATTGTATGCAATGGGTGGTGCTCCCTTTCTTCAAAATACAGACTTTAAAAAATCATTTCTAGAGCTTTTCTTTTCCTACATACCTGTTTTTTTTAATGTAGAGTACCGAAAAATCCCGAGGCTGTGTTGCTGTTTTAGCTTCACCGTTCCGACCTCTGCAAACGTACGGCTGGAGTCCGATGTCTTGTGTTTCATTCACTGATCAGGAGACGGTTCCTTCCTGTGCCCTGTGTTTCCAGGCACACGGACTGTGAGCTCTTTATTGAAATCTCATCCCCTGACTTCAGTAGAGGTTACAGGAAACGATGCAGCACCCCCTTAAATGCATACGGCTTCAGAGTCATAGCTGGGGGTGTGCAGGGGGCGTATCCATTCAAAGGTCTACGCAGTACCAATAAGCATGCTGAGATTTGCTGGTCCGAGCCGTGATGCTGCCCCACAAGACACTTGTCCTCTCTGAGCTCCACTGCATGTCTCACCCACTTTATGTCCTCAACCCTCCTGTGATGCACCCGCCTTGCTTATCTATGTGCTTCTGTTGGCCTCAGACCACGGTGTCTTGCTCCTTGGAACTTTGTTTTCATACCAGCCTTGGCAAAGTTACTGTGCCAATAAAAGGGTACAACTCTGTTCTTCTGTGGTGTTATTTATGTGCCACTGTTGTTTTCCACAAACACTTCCGTTTCTGGATCAGATCAGTAGGGGCGAGGAGACCTCTGTTCGTGTGTTCTTCTCACAGCATCTTGCAAACTTTAGGATCTACGGTTTGTTTTGGAAGAAAGATTTTTATGGTTATTCCTACATAACTACCAGGTGGGCCTACGTCAGTTGTAGGAAAAATATGTCAATTATTTAGGAATACTAATAGGCCAGTAAATCAGGAGAGGACTTCCGTTGAGAAGACGGCGTGTGACGCTCACAGATCCCACACCGAGCCAGGGAGGGCCACACGGAGAAGCACCTGGGTGCGTCCAGAGGCAGAGGAAGCAGGGGAGCTGGTGGGCTGGAGCTTTCCCTGGGGTTTCCTGGGCAGGAACGGGAGAGGCGGGTGTGCATGTGTGGACTGACAGGCTTGGATGGTTTCAGCCCCTCTCGGGCACAGAGGCTGCCCCTGGTCCTCTGGTTGCTGGCCCCTGGCAGGGGGATGGTGGCCTGGAGTGGGAGAGGTGGACGAAGGCAGTGGATGGGCTGTGGGCTCTGGAAGGGTCGGGGTTGTCTTCTATCTCTGGGACTTGGCCAGCCCTGGGCGGGGTAGTTCCTTCAGCCTCAGCCAGGGACAGATGTGGAAGCGTCAGAATGCAGAAAATTAAAAGACGTAGTTGACACGTGGTTAAGTGGCGACAGGACTGATGTCACCCAACAAGTTCAGGGGGGGCCGCGTGGACAGCCACCCGGCCTTGCTCCCTGCTCCTTCTTCGCACTCTCGCCGACATCCAACCTCCTAACCCCAGTCCCTAAGTAACCGTGACACCAATTCCCTTGAGACGCCTGCTTCCGTGACCTTCACACTGACCTTGGCTGCGTTAGAAGTGGGAACTGGATTTCTCCTGCTAACACACACGGTGCTTTTATTTAGACCAGAATGAAAAGTGAACCGTCCAGGCATTCGACTTGTGAGAACTGGTTCCGGATGTGCATTGAGCACTTGCTGTGACTGTTTTAGTCGCTTTGCACGTAGTATTCCAACCCTGACACTGACATATGCCTTCCTGATAATTCTCATCTCCTGCGTACCGACCCTGACATTGAAGCTCAGCGCTTTAAGGAGGCTGTCAGAATATAAACCCTCATCTTTATGGCTCCAAAGCTCATGCCATTTCAACTTGATAGACAGAAATTTTATACTTATTGTATGGAAGTCTAGCTTGAAAAACTTCATTCAATGGTCTTTTGGGGGGTACACCGCTGTGGGAAACTCTGATGGACGCCTATTGCAGGGAAGGTGTACATGAAGCAAGCCACCCAGGCACATATAGATCCACATGACACACCCCCTGTTCTGTTAATCTGGTCACAGTGTGGGGCCTGTGTAGTTATAACCTGACCCTGACCATCACCTGCTCAAGCATCAGGCAAGAGTAAATATTTAGTCTAGTTTAGTCTAGTAATCCCTTCGTCTCATCTAAGGTTGTTCATCTTCCAGAGCTAAAGGCCAAACCCCCTGAAGATTTTCTGACACACAGTCTCCCGACTCAGTAAGTACAGCCTCTTGCGCATGGCTTTCTGCTCCCCACAGTGGAGAGATTTCGGTGTGTGTTCATCAGTAGCTTACAAGCAGCTGATTGTACCTGTCCCACTTATATGATGGAAAAATCAGCTCAGACTCAAAGCATTTCATAGCCAGGAGAGTATTCACAACGTTAATAGTCAAAATAATATGAGATAAAGTCCAAGTCTGTGGGGATATTAAAGGTACTCTCAGAGTGGTTCTCTAACAATTACAACATTGTCAGGATAATGAACAGGGGTGCCATTCTGGGTAATAAAGCACGGAATGTTATTCCACATAAGCAAGATTTCAACAATTGTGTATGTTTGCAATATATTTAAAGATGGTATTTTAATTGCTATCAGACCGTAAGGTACGAATTATGATATATTATCAGGCCTGAGACCTTATGTTTAGCGATATAATTGGTGTGAATTATTACCCTATGTTAAGACACTGCCCAGTCTTATTGCTTTAAAAAAATGCTTTATGAGAGGGCTGTAAAAACTACTATCAAAATGTTCATAGTGGGGCTTCCCTGGTGGCACAGTGGTTGAGAATCTGCCTGCCAATGCAGTGGACACGGGTTCGAACCCTGGTCTGGGAAGATCCCACATGCCGCGGAGCAACTAAGCCCGCGTGCCACAGCTGCTGAGTCTGCGCGTCTGGAGCCTGTGCTCCGGAACAAGAGAGGCCGCGACAGTGAGAGGCCCACGCACCGCGATGAGGAGTGGCCACCGCTCGTCGCAACTAGAGAAAGCCCTCGCACAGAAACGAAGACCCAACGCAGCCAAAAATAAATAAATAAATTTATTTAAAAAAAATGTTCATAGTGGGTTAAAATGATTTAAAATTCATTTTCCACAGTGGAAAAGTATATCATTAGTATTCTTAAATAGTGGCATATAATTTAGTAGAATTATGCTACCCAATGAAAGCAACAGCCAATTAAAATCTTAGATTTGTAAATGAACCTCACACAGAAACATTACACAACTTGGACAAAAAGTATATTCTGAATTCCATAGTCTAGAAGGTTGGATAAATATCTGGGAAAATTCTATTCCTGTCCATTTTCAGCCAGACATCAAACTCAACTCCTATCACAGTAAAGGACATGGAAGTTATTACATAATAGCATTCTACAATGGGACACATTTTACCCCCTGGCTATTACTCTGCACTGCTAATTTTGTCCCAACTTTTAAATGTATGTCTTTAGTTAGAAGTTAAAAAGTTTTATTTTTATTTTGATTCTCATTGGGAAATGCTCAACAAAAAAACATTCAAAGCTGGAAAAACAAACAAACACGGTGTTCCAAGTAAAAGTTCAATGTAATTTCATTACGTTTTTCAAATTGCTTATAGCTTCACATAAAAATCCAGGTAATGGAGATGAAAGCCATAATATTTCTATTTATTGTGCAATGGTACATACTCCACAACGTTCATGGTTTCCCAAAACAGTAGCACTGCTTTCAAAAAACTGAAAAATATATTCTTTATCCCCGTTGTACTTCCTTTACATCTTATTCCTAAGCAATGACTTTATCAAACAAATTCTACAATGTTCTACTCATATGAGTTACAAAGTTACCCACCTAGCAAAGGGTTGTAGCATGCTGAGTTACAGCCTGGAAGAATTACCTTTGTAGTTTTTCTCTTTACCTAAGTACCCTGGACCCCCGGGATGTTCCATTATTGTGGTTTCAGTAAGTTTCTCTAAAATCCAGGATGCTTTGTAAAACTTTAAAGATGACTTTTTCAAAGGGTAAGTCTTATTGGATTGCCTATAATACATCTCTATCACTGTTCTAATTTCTCAGATCACTTTTCAGATTTTTAAAAAAAATCTATACCTAAAATATCATTTTTGTATGATCTGACAACACAATATAACCTGAATTTTATGTCGTTTACCAGATCATTACAATGGCAGAAGAAAATCTTGATGCCTTCTCATAAGAAAATATCAAAGGTGAATAAATCTATGCATTTATTTCAATTTTTGTTTTATAATAGGAATGCATCAGATGTGTCTTCTCTTTCCTTTGAATTAGTCATCGACAGACATCCTGGCATATCTGCTAGCTTGCCTTTTCCTACAGCCCCAGGGAGCGTGCGTTGCTTCAAAAGAAGGCTCCAGAGCTGGCCCAGATGACATTTTCCTGATGTCACCCCTTAGTTTCTAAAGTCTAAAGAAAATGAAAGAGAATGAAACTATTGATAAATTCCAAAGGGGGAAGTTCAAATCTCTAAAGAAAAATGGAATAAAACCAAATTCAATTGGAGGTTTTGATCTTTTAAGGTTTCTGCAAACAAAGAGGCTGGAGGTCCCTGATCTAAAACAATGGGTTGAAAGTGTATAAATTCTGTCACATTGTGAAGAGTGGTTTTCTTACTGAACCTGTCTTGAGGGCTCTATTAAGCTGAATTGCATCAAACCAGGTCTTATACAATAATCAGAACGGGTTCACCCAGCAAATTCCCTGTTGTGGTACACCCACATTATTGTTGAATAAAATAATCAATCTTAATACTGCAAAATATTAAGCATTTTGGATACTTTTTTATATAAATAGGCTGTACATACATGTGTGTTGTAGGGGAAAGCATTCTTCAGAAAATTCTGCATTTAGAGAACTGTTGTCATTCCCTTGGGCTCTGAAGCTGTTATAAGGGGATAACATTCCATATTTTAAAAAGCAAGAACAGTTGCCTAGCAGAAGAGACGAGAAGCCACAGGAAATCCACATAGTCATGACCTCAACTCCTGAAGGCTGTCAAGGGCAGGGAAATAGGGAATTCAAGGTGACAGCTGCATAACTGGGCACCAGGAACGTCCACCTTCCAGCCCCTGGTGAAAGGCAAACCCTACAAAGATGGAATGCTTAGTGCCCAGAGCATCCAAAAGCCAAAAGGTGGCTCACAATGACTCTAAGAAAAACCTCATTAAAGGTCCAAGTTTGGTAAAGTTGCAGGATACAAAATTAATGCACAGAAATCTCTTGCATACCTATACACTAACAACAAAAGTTCAGAAAGAGAAATTAAGGAAACAATCCCATTCACCATTGCAACAAAAAGAATAAAATACCTAGAAATAAACCTACCTAGGGAAGTAAAAGACCTGTACTCAGAAAACAATAAGCCACTGATGAAAGAAATCAAAGATGACACAAAGAGATGGAGAGATATACCATGTTCTTGGCTTGGAAGAATCAATATTGTGAAAATGACTATACTACCCAAAGCAATCTACAGATTCAGTGCAATCCCTATCAAATTACCAGTGGCATTTTTTACAGAACTAGAACAAAAAATCTTAAAATTTGTATGGAGACACAAAAGACCCCGAATAGCCAAAGCAGTCTTGAGGGAAAAAAAATGGAGCTGGAGGAATTAGAC